GGGGGGGAGGGAGGGACCTAAGTACGTATAAGCGATGACTTTAAAAAGGGAGGATGACACTAAGGGGTGGGAATATGCCCCCCAAAATTTCAACCTTCCAGCTTTCCTGGTTGCTGAGTTGAAAGCGGGTGACAAAATTCACTTGCTTCCGAACACACACACGGACGACCTCCCAGCAATATGCGTTTTCGCTCGCTGTAGCATCACTACAGCGCTGCAAAAACGCATAAAGATGCAAATGGAGGCCCTACAATGCATTATAGGAAATAAAATGAATGAAGAGGAAAAAAAATGCACTCAAGAAACACGCGTACCTTTCGGCGCGGCCTATGATGGCAAACATCGGCAGCTGAAGGATGTGGGGTAACTAAGAATCTCAGTTATTGGATGAATGCCACCACCAAACAGTTTTCACCTTTTGTTAAGCTACTACATTTGTGTCACTGTCGAGGGGCAAACTCATTAACTATCTCCAGGAAATCCGCAGAATATGATCCGTGTCTGGCACATGCTTCAGGACCGAAGACGTCGTAATCGGTAAGGGTATAAAAACGATTTTGTGTGGCACTGGAGATATCCAGAGGACCACAGACGACTCGAACCTGCGTATTTCAACTCAAGTTAGACTTTAATAAGTAGAAAGTTACAACCCCCCCCCCCCTCCCCCCCCGTATTCGCTGTCATCAAATGATCAAATACTGGTCAAACCAATTATGAAAATGAAAAACCTGCGAACTGCATGGATGAACAACTATATTATGAAACATAGTTGTTTCGTGTAATCCGACGCACCAAACTGCACAAAACGAAAAAAAAAGGAACACTAATAGCGGACCGAAAATGCGACACAACACTCGGAAATCGTACCAAGCGAGATTTCATTAATATTTGCAGGTGGCACGCAACTGAATAAAGACGGCGTATGACGGCTTTCTTTAGCAACAGTCACTGGTGCAAAGTCGGAAGCCTTTCTTGACGAAACTGGCTGATTGGCAACTGCTTCAACTTTCTGGAAAATCCCAACACGCATCAACTGCTCCAGCCAGAAATCCGTGTTTTTCACCAGAAGTGACTTGATGATCTGCAAGCACCATTCAGTCATAACCATATTTAACCAAAACGTGCCTACGAAAATGCAAAGTGATTATGCGAAGCCAAACTGTAATCTGCAGCAGAAAGAAAACACCGCCGACGATAACGCTATAATGCATAACATATTTTCTTTTCCTAAAGCGGCTAACTTTCATCTCAGAACCACTTTTTTAATAACCTTTCACTGCTCTCTCTCTCCATCACCTTCCTCTCGTCCGAAAAACAAGTGATATAATAAAGGAAATCCTAAACGAAAAATTCGCGGGGGCCTGCCCCTTTATTTTCCCATTCTTTGAGCAGGGGTGGAATTTGGACAACTTAAGAAATGCAATGAAAAGACACCATATTTACTGACAAAAACACCAGGACCGTCGGACAATCGGTATGAAGATTTCACGCTAGGAGTACTACTAGGACGATTCTACATCGATCCTGAGCTGCAGACCTCCAGTAAGTACCCAGCGCCTACTCGATGTATGAGCGCTAGCTCGTCGGAGGCGGCTGAATTAATCGTTTACTTTCTCCCGGATGCCGCACACGGATGTGTGACGTCCACCGGTTGTCACAGAGTATGCAGCATGTCCTAATGCAGTTCACTTTCTCACATTGCCGCAGTGAAATCTTGCAAGCCACTAGTCTGATGGAGAGTATGATTGCTCACATGATCAAAAAATGTCACGTCACGCAGAGCGTTGCATGTCACGTCGTATGCCCTATATTCAACATTTTGGGATGAACGTTTCCTGCTTGACTTTTGCAGAACACCCACCAGCTCCTCAAGCTTTTGCAACGTGTCAAGCCCAGCTCGAAAAATGCGAGACAATGTCGTATTCGTATGCTAAAGTTTATCCACTGCTACTACACCACAGTGGAGAGCATGGAGAACATGGATTGAAAAACAGAATAAGAAACTTATCAATGTGCAAGACGCTCTTGCGAAGATTTGAGCAGAATGGAGGGCAGCTAAGTTATGGTATCGAAATGGTCTCGGAAACTGTGAGTTACAATTCAGCGTGTATCTCATGGCATTCCCCGTATAAGCTCCTGCAAACTTTTCCTGGAGATCTAAATCCCCTGGGAACTATGGTTCAGAAGTGGATTGAGATTTTCAGGAAAGTCATGCAGAAACTTATACGAATGCGAAGCGATACATGCTGTTGTGGAATTCACAGTTACATGAGCTTTTTACCACTATGCTCGCTCTCGTCCCTTC